ACATAGAGACATGTTTCTGTAAGAATGATGCAGCCACCAGCCTGAGACTGCTAACAGCCACGGAGATGGCAGCAGATGTCATTACCTACCCACCTAAGCACCAGTCCGTGTCCCTCATTAGTAAAGGATCCTGCATCCCACCCTGCTCTAGAACCGTAACTTAAGCCATCCTTACAGATAAGGCAACGACTGAGATCAAAGCTAAAGTGGTTGGCAAATGTTTCGGTCACAGGCTCTCCAAATAACTTGATTGTTTTAATGGCTTGAAGATGTCTGTAGCCATCTCCCATCTGTTATCCAGTTATCTTCAGCGATAGAAGGGAGAGCTACTGTTCCAGCTGTCACTTCTCTGCAATGAGCATCCTTGGACCCAGAGGGCATGCATTAAGGATGGGAGAGCAAAAAAGATAGAAGTAACATGGAGTCGCAGGAACAGTCCTGGCCTCCTTGCCTGTTTTGCATGCATAAAAAAGCAAGCCTTGTGTTGTGAATCCAACTTTATATTACATTTCTGTAGACCCGTAACCAAAAGCAATTCCCAGCTTACTCCAAGATCTAATTAACTTTATAAAAATGATACTGAAACTAGAGAAAGTTAAGAATGAGAAGTTGCTGATAGCATCAGTTTTCCTCTGGGTTAGCTTTCCAGAGAACAAATTTGCTGATCTCATAGGAGATGTCTTTCATTTTAATTTGCTAATCTCTGTTTTCTTTTTCAGTTAGACTGAAAACAGGCAGTCAGATCATTCATACGTCACGCCTCTCTATATGCTCTGAGTCACATGGAGAGAGTACATATGGGCCTATGGCTGATATTTCACATTCAGTATCCCCAATAGCCTGAACATGTGCATATCTTTCAGTTACCTGCTTGATAATGTAAACATCTGAATTTGACGAGTCCTGACAGCAGTCAACAAGGGTCCAAGCCAACATCATTTTTCTCTGTCTGTTCATTTGCGCCTTTGATGCTCTAAGCCAGTACCAGATCACTGGAGGGTAGTTCTGCTCACAAGAGAACAATGGTTACCTCATTTACATGAGCCAATATATGAGGTAGAAAGGCAGAGACTGTACATACACACACCTCCTACCACCATGAGAGTCTGATTATACTTAGGCTCAATTCTTTCCCTAAATGTAGTCAGCAGAATAATTAACAAGAAAAAATAGTGCCACTCTAGTCTACAAACATAAAATATGTTAATAATTAAACATATTTCTCAACTTCTATGAGAATTTGAGTCAGCTTACATTTACACACATATGATAAAAGATGCAATTGCTTTAGTTATCAAATAAATAGGAAATGAATACCAACATTAGGAGACCACCAAGAGACAGGCATGCTGATAGTGCAGATGGGAGAGCAAAATGCTCCAGCATCTACTGTGGGGATCAGAGGAAACCCTGGGTGTGTGAAGTCCTGAGTGAATGTGTGTTGTTAACATGGCCACAGCTGTGTCAAGGACCCTAAGCCTTCCTTCTGGTCCTTATGCAGATGTTGACAGTGCGTGCCGAAATCGTCTATCAGCCTCCCTCCCACCCCTATATTTAGAGCCTGAAGACTCCTCCCCTACAAAGACTGTTCCTACAAAGATTAGCTAAACCTGCCTCCCTATTCAGCTGTATACCACAAACCCTCACTTGATTCAGCTATAGGCAATAACCCCACCTCTCTGCTCAACTATGTATTATAAACACACTGATCTTCCAAGGTCTGCAGTTTCTCCACCAGAAAGCCCTGTCTATTGATCCTGCCCTTTCTGTATGTCCGTGGGTCTACCATTTCTTCATCCCCTTGTTGCCCCAGTCAGGCCCGCTCCTGGAAATGGAAATGGTGCAAAGACACAGCAATCTATAGAGAGGAATAACTAGAAGAATCATAGAAAACTTTTCCACGTAGACACAAAACACCCACTACACACACACACACACACACACACACACACACACACACACACACACACACACACATATATGATATTTGAAGAGCAGGAGAGATGGTTCAGCACTTAAAAATGTTTCCTGCTCTTACAGAGAAACAGACTAACAGACTTCAGGTCCCAGCACCCACATCAGGAAGCTCCAGGGGATCTGACACCCTCTCTCAGCCTCTGGGGATACCTGCACTCATGTACATTCACACACATACACACACACACACACACACACACACACACACACACACTTAAAAATTTTAAATTTAAAGAAGAAATGGCACATAATATATACCCTATTAGTTTTCACAAATGTGGTGATGGCTGCTTCGGTTCGCCCACAACTGAGTTTACTGAAACTTAAGAGTTTTGGTGCTGAAACTGAAACAATACCTGGCAAACGAGGAATGTTGTTGACTGGTAGCAAATAATCCTAAATCCAATCACCTTGAATTGATATATCATTGTTATCTCTGTCTCTCTGAGTCAGGAATCTGGATATAGCTTAGGCAGACCTCTATCCCACACCGCTGCCACCACCCCCAAAGTAGCAGCTAAGGTGTCAGAGAAGGCTGAATTCTCAGCCAATGGATGAAGATGGTTTCCTAGTCCACTCATGAGCTTGCTTGCAAGACTTGGTCTGCCATAGGCTATGGGACCATTTGAACAGAAGCTTCTGTCATTTGCTGACCAAAGCTGCCCTCAGTTTCTTCCCATAGCAACTTGCTCCAATGAAACGACAATATCATTGTGTAAAAGACAGGGGTCACAATGTTTGATAACTTGAGCAGAAGCGTGGCACACCATCAATGCCGCCATATTGTATTGATCGAAAGGACTAGAGTGAAGAAAAGAACTCATTCTCACTACAAGAAGACTGGCTGCCAGACAAGGACCAAAGCATTGGTAATATACAATGCCAGGGCCTAGAGATCAACATCTGGAACATCTGGAATAAGCTCAGACTCTGATACATCTTCATCCAGCAATTCACATCCTCTCAACCCACAGCCATCTACCACCAGCTTCTCCCCAGAAAAAGCTCCAGAACAAAGGCTAACCTGCTCAAGGGAGACAATCCTTCTTGGGATAACTCTCTAAACATAGCTTCCATGGCCAGGGACACCCTCCTAAAATGTTCACGTTCAGGGAAGTTCAAGGCATGACATCTTCAGGAGAAATGCATGGTTCACTTGGATGGGGGCATTCCTACATCTATGTCTGTTCACCATGTTTGTGTCTGGTGTGCAAGGAGGCCAGAAGAGAGCCTATGATCACCTAAAACTACAGTTAAAGATGGCATCAGCCCACCATGCAGGTCCTGGGAATCGAACCCAAGTCCTCAGCAAGAGCAGCCAGGAGTCTTAACCACTAAGCCACATCTCCAGCCCCTTGTGGTTCACTTGTATTTCCTCCCAGTCCAGAAACAACTCACCAGCCCAGGATTATTTTTAATCATCACCCATGCAGCTTGGAAATCAGTTTGGATTCTACACTTAAGATGCTTGAGGTTAACTGAGCTCGCAAGGCAAGCAATGCTTAAATCATCCCGCAGCAGTAAAGATTGTCTTACCCTGGGCCCATCCTTCCTTCCACAGAGTAGATTCTTCCCTTCTCCAGAACGTTGCAGGCATGATGGCAAGACTGCCCCCTAGGCCATGGGTTAGCTCCCAGGGAAGCAGTGGAAGAAGAGGAAAACTTCAAACCTAGCTTCAGCCCATCCCCTTGTATTTCCAAAGCTTGAAGGATGAAGCTGATGTTGTTTTTGCTTTTTGGTTTTGTTTGTAGCTTGTTTCTTTGTTTGTTTTAAACAATCGATTTCTGAAGCAATACCCTGGGGAACAAGGTGCCCAGGACCACTAAGGCAGAGCCTAACTGTTACCCATTTAAAGTACCCTGCAGATCAGAGGGTGAAGCAAAAGGTCACCTGTCAGGCCACACTGACCCTGTTGTTAGGATAGTGGCATCTTTAAGGTAGCTAGCTTTGTAGACTCAGGTAGGCCTCTCTGGCTGAGATAAAGGTCCCAGGTAGGTGGAAACTTCCCCTTTATAACTATTTCCCTCTCAAATACTAAGCCTGAGGGCCCATCTTCTCTCTGTCCCTTTTCACACTTTATCAACTTTTCTTCTCTTGGAGTTCATGCCTGCCTCCAATGGAGCAGGACAGTGTAGGTCTGGAAAGATCAAAGGGCAAGCTCCTGTGACCAGGCGAGGCCTCAAGTGAAGGGATCGGGACACCAACCCAGCCACAAAACCCTCAGCCTACAGTTTGTCCTGCCCGCAGAGTGGACAGAGAGACTGGGACTGGAGCCTAGCAGAAGCCTCATCAGAGAGACTTCATGCAGCAACTGATGGGAACAGATGTAGAGTCCCACAGCACACATTAGGTGGAGCTCAAGGAGTCCTTCGGAGGAGGGGGCAGGGACACCAAGGGACTCAATTGACTGGGACTCATGGGGGCTTGCAGACATCAGGAAGCCTGTAGGGGTTTGACCCAGATCCTCTGCATATATGTTATGGCTGAGAAGCTTGGTGTTCTTGGGGGATTCCTAACAGTGCGAGTGGGGGTGTCTTTTGTCTGCCTGTGGGACCCTTTTCCTCCTACTGGGTTGCCTCATTCAGTCATCTGTCTGGTCTTATTGTAGCATGTTATGCTGTGTTCAGCTGATGGCCCCTGAGAGGCCCGCTCTTTTCTGAGGGGAAGTGGAGGAGGGTGGATCTGGGGGAGAAGGGAGGTGTCAGGGGAGAGACTAGGGTGCGGGGAGGGAGGGAAAACTGCAGTCGAGATTTAATATATGAGAGAAGAATAAAAATAATTTAAAAAATTCAAAGATCAAAGGCAAAATTAAGGTCAAGCATCTACTTTTTACCCAGCAATCCCATGACTCCCTAGGGAGAGTGGAGGCACCAGGAAACATCTGTTATTCTACAGAAAGGGTCCCTGGCTATTTTCTCCCCCTCGGAATTAGATTCAGAAAAGGTCCTCTTCTGGCCTCTCAGTTCAATGGCTGTCATGCCACGGGGTTGAGGGAAGCAAAGAACTCATTCTGCACACAGTACTTCCAGAAGTCAAACTTTTTATCTGTGGAGAAGGGGTGCCTCTCCCATCTCTTCACCAGTATCCCCGCCTCCTCTCAAGGGGGCACAGCAGGCCAGCTCTTCATGAAGACTCGGGGTCTCTTTCTTTCAGGCTCTGTGCTGGCCTCCTCATGGCCAAGCCTCCTTTCACAGTTTGAGGACAGAGGACAGCAGAGGAAGCTCAGCTCTTCCTCCTCTGGCAAGTCCAGAATTTCCCTTAACGTTTCTGGTGATGTTTCCAGTCAACTGTCCCAAGGACCAAAGATGGGCTCTGGGGTGAGACAGCTTCTGTGAACAAAGAAGTGTCATACAGCCAATCTTTAATGGGTTTGTTAAGGGGAGGAGATGAAATACAAGGCAATGTCTGAGAAAGCCGAGAGACAGAGCTGGGGAAAGGCAGCAGATGTTGTCAAAGATCCTCTTTCAAGTTCCTGTGTGCTCAGAATCTGCAGATGTATGTTGGCAGGGCTACAGTCAGAGGGGATCGGGAGGCAGGGGTTCACACATCTGGGAAGCATTTGCAAGGGGCAGAGTTCAGAAGTGCTCTACCTCAGCTGCCTTCAGAGCCGGCTGGCCAAGCAGACTGATGGGGAGTGTAGGGCTGGCTGGTCCCAGAGGAGTCTCTGGGGTCTCGCTCTAAGTGGAAGACCTACCTAAGCCAGTGGGTTCTCCTCACTATCAGTCCAACCCCATGGAAAAGTGGAAATGATCATCAGATGAGAGACAGGGCCTGGGGAAAGACTGGAGCAGGGAAGAGAATGCTCTCTAACTTTGAGAAGTCTGGCTGCACGTCAAGAAACAAAATGTACTTGGACTGAATCCAGCGCATGAGTTAACTTGAGAGCAAAGAGCCCATTCAGGGGGTGGGGGTGGGGACAAAAGGCCACTCCACTGCATAGTAACACCCAGGGGTCATGCTCACACCACACTGGCTTTTCTCAGAAATCTCTGTACATTTCGCCTTCATTTATTTCAAGAATGCAGAAGTCTCTCTTTATCCGAAAGGCCTTCCTTACTGTCTTTGAAGGATTTATGGGGTTCTGCAGAGGAAGAGCGAGAGAGCAGGTCTCCAAATCCTGGGTTATCACCTCACTGCCCTTCAGCCTCTTGCTGTCCAACATGAGGTGTGAGCCTGCCTCCCAGAAGGGCCAGGTCACCCTGAGGGCTTAGCTCCTCTCAGAGGACAAGTTTCAGGGTGAAGTCATGTCCCAGTTCAAAGGTCCTGTCACAGTCCACAGTACAAATGATACAGCTTACAGCTGCTCATCAGGTTTAGCTTGGGGTCTCGTGTCTTTCGTAGTGTGACCTCTCCAGATGTGATAATGACTTAAAGATGCTAGGGCTTAACCCTATTGGTTACTGCGATCCAGAGCCTCAGAAGAATCAGAGTCCATCTGGGGAGAGAACAGAGCCAATAAAAAGAAGATGAGTTATAAAATACAGCACAAAATATAGTGCACACCAGTTAGGAAATAAAACAAGTCTAGACGGATGTCCTCGGGCTCTGATCTTCCTGTCCTGATGAGTGTGAGTGTCTCACATCCCAAGCCAGAAACCTGCATGTCTCCTCCTTCATCACCTGCTCATCCAACGTAGCCACTGGATTCTATTGTGCCCTTAGCCCCTCTTCATGGGGCTGTCCCCAACTTCAACTCCCACCCTCAGTGTGCCCAGCCAGAATCAATGCAGCTGGTGACCCAGCTCCCAGTTGGTCCCTCTGCTGTCAATCTTGTCACACTAGATTGTTTCCCTGAGGTGTCTTTCTAAATTTAAATACGAACATGTCACTATTCTGAAGGGGCTCACACGCCTCTACAACTTCGAGGGCAAAGGTCAGCCCCTTGGCATGACCAGAAAAATCTTTGGGATTTAGTTTTTGTACACTTTCCTAACTGACTTCAGGGGTGTTCTCATAAATGTTCAGCAACAGAATCTCCAGACAGACCACTACTATGTTCTGTAAAACTTGTACATGGCTTCCCACCTCCCAGCAAGAGTTAACTTTAAATTTCCTGATTATTCCGCATCCCTGGCTCATCTGGTCTTTTGCACATTTTTCTCTCTCCAGTAACAAAGATCCAGTCCCTGGTTCTTCCAAGCATCCTTCAAGCCCAAGCTGGTCTAGAGGCAATTGGGAAAAATGTTTTTAAAGGGTGCTAAGATCAAAGACTCCTCGACAAGTTAAGGGGGGAAAAAAGCAAGTTTGGAAAGAGCAATCAAAAGAAGCTGTGTTTTATTTAGCCAAGTTGAATTTGATATGAATGTATGGTCACCAAGGAGAAAGATATAACAAAACAGAGAAGACGGGGTGCCAGAGCCTGGGCCTGACTGAATTCACCCACATATGTGATGCCATGGCCTGCAGGGCTTGCTGTCATGCACACGTCCTACATACTTAAAGGAGGGGTGCTACTCTTCCCAATATCCCCACAGTGTGTAAGATACAGGTGCACTGATAGGTCCATCAACAGCTCCCCATTCCTGAAGTCCACCATGCATCGTAGACACACCTTGCTCATTGTGAGGGAATGCATAAGGTAGTTCACTATAAAACATTCCTAATGTAGGGCAGTCTGCTTTCTCGATAAATTGTCTCAAAGCATTGTAAAGCCCAATTTTGATGCAACTTGAATGCATGCCTGAATGAAGCGAACTACCTATCTACATGAACCTGGTGGAAGCAGTTTGTGGAAATAATATATATGAAGATGCCTTGAAATGTACAACATGCTATGCAAATCTAAGAATACTAAATGTGGGAAAAAAATCTTACAATGTCTTATAACTGGACTTCAAGCTGCAATAGAGATGTATCTGTTCATGTGAAATGTTCATGTGAATCTGACAGTCCCCACACTAAGACAATGGCAAAGGACACACTGGGCAGCTCTGATGGCCCATGAGAGTTAGTTTCTCACCATTCATATGGACCTGTCTGAGTGTAACTGATTAATGTCATAAAGAGGACTCAGAACTTTGACTCAACCCTACTGAGAACCAACTGGTCAGAGGCACCCTCAAGACTCTGCTTTTCAGGTCCCCCTAGGATATCATGCTGGCTTCATATGCTTAGGAACAACTACATCTAAATTCAAATGCCAGAGCTCAGCATGTCTAATGCAAGCCCACGGTTGTCTTTGTGCTGTCCAGGGCCCTGTTCCTGCAAGTAGCCAGGAAAAGAGCCCATCCAGATTCCAAGCATGGACATGTGTCTATAATATAGACAAGCATATATGCCTGCAAGTAAACACACACACACACACACACACACACACACACACACACACACACACACAATTCAAAAAGAAAGAAAGAGAGAGGAGAAAGAAAAAGAAGGAAGGAAGGAAAGAAGGAAGGGAGGGAGGGAGAAAGGGGAAGTAGAGGGAGGGATGGAGGGAGGAATGGATGGATAGGGGAGGGAAGAGGGGGGGGGCACTACCACTGAAGTTCAGAGAACCTTGAATGGCATTCAGCTGCCCTCTAAAACCCAGGTGGTGTGTGTCCTGGTTAAATGATAGAAAAGCCTGGCAAGCTTTGGAGAACCAGTGCAGTCCAAGAGACAGTCACATTTGAGCATTTCTTGGTTGTCTGGGACTTAGTAAGGTATTAAGGGGCATATAGGGCTCCAATACTAAATAGCTGGCCCCTTCCTGGACTCTGGTTTCAAAGAGATCAATATAAATTAGCAATGATGTGCAGGCCACAAAGCTTACTGGAGTCAAGTCAGAGTACCCAAAGAACTCATGGGTGATGGTACCCAAACCTCCAATTGGATCCTCGTGACAACACGTCTCATGCCCACCCTCTCTCTCGATGTTCCTATTTACTACCCTGTGTCCAGCTGCTTTCTACATGCCAACATCAAGGCCATCACAGAGATGGAGAAGAGGCTCTCTGCTCTCTCGTCACCTCGAAGCCTTGTCTCCTGCACACCCTCCTGTCCTCCAAGGCTGTCAGCTCCACAGGGCCTGCAGACCCCTTCTCCTTTCCATTCTTGTACTATTTATTGACTCATCCTACTATTCCTTTGGCCTCCTGACTACCACACATGGAGCTGATGGGTTGAGTTTATAGACACTATTACTGCCAGATTCTCTTCCCTTCATTGTCTAGAAGCCTGTCTCCACTTAAGCCCTAATCCTTCTTACCACTTTTGACCTAGTTCCCATTATTTTATATTTTTCCATATTAAGTCAAATAAGCCACTTGTTAGCCTGCATTTATCTTATTGGCTCCAGCTCTTCTATTGTGACTCAAAATGAGTGCCTGATGGGGAAAAAAAATCCCCAGGCTAATCCCAGGGACTCATCCACTTTCTCAGCTTGTGGACTAGATGGAAAACTTCTTGGAAAAATTTGCTGGTGTTCTTTAGCTAGACAAAGAAGTGTCATAACTCACTGCTACCCTGTTCTCAGCAACCTTCAAATGGAAGAGTGCCTTTAAAGACATCAAATATGAAAAACATGCAACTGAGCCCCTCCTCTATGACCACTAAGTATACCCATTCTTCAGTGAAATCTGATAACAATGGATAAATAGGTATTGTGGATAAGACAGAAGAAGAAATTGAGCAAGAGAAGGAATGCAAGCAATCAAGAGCCTTCCTCCCTCTTTGCCTTCATCCCTAGAGAACTAACTACATGTGTGACTGGAAAGATTAAAAGGCACCACTTTAGAAAATATTTTTTCTTCATACATGTGTAGCATGACCAGAAGTCTAACAAAGATGCTATTCTGGGTAAGTAACAGGCTTATACCCATCCATTCCAGGGCATGTTTGAGAAAGAATCACATATACTGTGTTTCACAAAGGCTTTTTGTTTTTTGTTGTTGTTGGGTTTTGGGGAGTGGGGGTTGTTTTTGTTTTTATCTTTTTTTTTTTCAAGACAGGGTTTCTCTGTGTAGTTTTGGTGCCTGTCTTGGATCTCGATCTGTAGACCAGGCTGGCCTTGAACTCACAGAGATCCACCTGGCTCTGCCTCCCAAGTGCTGGGATTAAAGACATGCGCCACCACCGCCTGGCTGAAGCCAAGCTCTTAAAGGATCTCAGAGTTGCTTTGGTTTGCTGGAGCTTGCTTATCTGTCCCATAGGGAACATTTGGACCACTGAGAAGTATTCTCAAGTGTTAGTCCTAGCCTCTCTTTTGCCTCAAAATCAAGCCATTTCACAGCTGTCCAGCTGAAAGTGGGCAGGCAGCATGTGAGGCTCTCCAGGATCACCTCCAAAGTGCTCATGTCAGGGTGGTTTTATAACTCCACCAAAGTGATGACTGCTGTGTGAGCTAGAAACATCATCTGACTCGGGAGAAGAAAGGGTCTACTAGTTTGTGACTCCTGACAAAGGAAAAATGGAAGTTATTTTTCCAATCCTTACTGAGTTTTTTTTTTATTCAATCCATTCAAATAGAGTTTTCATTATCAATAAAATATCAACATTAAAATATAACCAACCAAGTGATGGTGAAGCCCACCTTTAATCCCAGCATTTGGGGGACAGAGACAGGCAGATCTCTGTGAGTTCAAGGCTAGCCTGGTCTACAGAGTGAGTTCCAAGACAGCCAGGTCTATTATACAGAGAAACCCTGTTTCAGAATGTGTGTGTGTGTGTGTGTGTGTGTGTGTGTGTGTGTGTGTGTGTGTGTGTAGATAACCATCTGGCAAGTGGTTATCATTGCTGCATACATTTATAGGTGAAAGCCTTTGTTGGCATGAATAACCTATCTGATGC